ATAGAGATGTGTTTGTAAGAACATACCCAGAAGGCTATAATTTCAAAGATAAACTATAACCTCTTGGCTACTACAGGCACTTCTTTCTGGGTGATTATTCCTCCTTTCTGAAACGCTGCAAGAGGAGAATTCCCAAGTGGCTTCCCTCCATCATAAAGGTAATCGAATATCATCTTTCTAATCAGTAATCTGCCAACTGTTTTATTTTGTACCTTAGACAGTTGCCTTTGGACCTGCTCTGTGCTTCCCTTTGTACCTTAGGTAATACAGTTTGCCTGTGCTTGAATATTCTGCTGAGTATGAAAAGCAGCATGGATTAAAGGCTGGAATCCCCAGTAATCTGGTCCTCATGCTATTAGAATTTGTGTGTTTGTCCTTAAAGACCATCTGAAACCAAGAAAACATTAGGGAATGTTGTGTTAACTTTTGTTAACTATATTTGATGGTAAGAGTGCAACAAGATAAAATCAGCTATGCAATAATCCCTTGGAGAGCCACTGCATAGAGAACCCTTCATGGCTGTGGCCAGCAGTGAAGCCTCAGCAGCTACTTCAACCTTGGCTTTGATTTATTTTTGAATTTTTTTTTACCAAAACTATCAACAAATTAGTCAGAGCCAAATGCAGGGAGACTTATTACAAGCTAGCCACATGCCCATTTAGGACTTTAAGCCTCTAATTGACCATAGCAGGACTTGAAGCAAAGATGATTTTTTCACTTACCATGTAACATACAGTTCTTCTGCCACAAGGCTCTGTGGGGCTCTACTGTGGTGATTCTTCGTGGCACAAACTCAAGTTATTGTAGCTGGATTTTTGTTTTCATCCTGTGTGTCCTTGGTAGGGAAGAACCCACATTCCACATCATCATTTCCTTGCAGTCTGGGAAGGGCTGGAGTTGCCCCTAGGTGCAGTGTACTCCTTGGGCCAGATCAAGGGAGGCACCAGTGCCACAACACACCAAAAGCTTTAAGTTTGGCTATTCTCCCATTTTTTTTTTTTGGTCACCCTTGCATCCCTGATAGTCTTCTGGGACACCACTAACTCATCAGGAAATAAAGGGATTTTTCATCTCAAGAACTCAGCTTTGCTCAATGGCCAACACATGTAGGATGGAGCAGGACAAGAGAGAGCTCAGAGAGTAATTATTTTACACTTTTGCAACTGAACTGGGGGTTGAGGGGATTTGCTGTGGTCAGCAGTATGTTCTTCCACTCTCCAGCTGTACAAGGTTCACTTACTCAGCTCACCTTTTATTTCAGATGACAGGAGACTCTGGATGTTCCACCATGGCTGAGCAGCACAAGCAGGTAAAGGCTCAAGGTCCTCTTTTTAAGGAAGCATTATGCAGGTGCTTTGGAAGGTTGGATGTGTTGAATCATCTTCTAAGAGAAGTGACAGACACATCCGCATTCTGATCACTTTAGCACAATTAGGAACTCATCTCTTATCACTCCAGCCACACTTTCCCAGCATTTTTCCCTTCTACAGCACCAAGGAAGGAAGGGCTTGTTATCTTGGCTTGTGTGGCAGGAACCCACAAGACTCCCCTGTAAGCAGAAGCTGTGCCACCTCCAGGTGGTCCTGTTAAACGCTGTTTCCCAGCTGATGTGCCCCAGTCTGTCTGCCTTGCCAGCAGCAGCCCTGCTCTGCACTTAAGGAATCTGCCAACTCCTACAAGCCCTTTAAGGGCAAGAACTCAAGCAATCCATGAATTAGTTTGGAAACTTACCATGCTGAAGCTGTTGGCATGAAGACAAACAGGGTGTTAAGCACTTGGACTTGATGAACAAGATTTTTTTTTCTATGTAAACTTCTCTGCTTCCACAGCTCATGTAATTATAGTGTGTGGGATTCACTCACGTAATCACCTCATCACATGCAATAAAAACACAGCCTCAAAACAAGACAGTTTCTAGCCAAAGGGCTTTTAAAATAGCTGAAGTGCTGAGCTTTAGCTACTCTCTATCCTGTCTCAAAGCAGGACATACACAGTGTCTGGTGAGTATTAGGAGTTACTAATTTTTGAAACTCTTATGAGTTCTTCAGCTAAAGCATCTGAAATTATTTGGTCTAACTAAAAATTCTGACATCAGAGTTTTTCTTTGGAATATTCTTTATCCCAGAACAAAAAGGTTTTATAGGGTACAATTCTGTTAGAAAGGTCAAAGCTTTTTATAGCCTTTATAACTTTTTTTTTTTAACTAAAGAATATGTAGGTAATGTTTCAGGATCTAAAGATTAAGAAAGTCTTACATCAGCATACACGAGGGATAACATGGATGCAACTGAAAGTATGAAACTGCTAAGAGAGCAAATCTCTGGTCCAGGATCCAGCAGGCACTATCTGAAACTGGAGTAGAGGCTTTTGCCAGCCTTGCACTTGCAGTTCAGTGCTCCCAGTGATAACACTGGCAACTGATTGCATTTCTCCCAACATAAACCCGCAGGGTTCACAAACATCAAGCTCTAGGGCAAGAGTCCTGTCAGCTGCTTCCTGCCCAGTTACTCACAGGGTTAAAAAAGAAAAGAAAAGAAAGAGGTGATAAGAGGAAATGTTTGTTTGTTTGTTCTAATAAGGAATGTTTCAGTGCTAATGAGCACAATTCTGTCCCGGGACAGATAAATATTGCTGACAAGTCCTGAGACGTGTTTTACGCTCTGTAGGTGTTACAGAATCTGAAAGACATGCAGAGAGGATTCCTCTATGTTGCATTACACTAAACCACCTGCATTCAATGTTTCTTAGTGAGCTGCCTCTCTTGTTTGTCATCTCTGACGGGAGACCAGCAGGACAGCAGCTATGAATCACAGCATTTTTACTCCAGTCTGTTTGTGCATCACAGCACTATGGTTAAAAAACAGGAAGGACAGAGTAATGAAGAAAGCAATAGCTGGTTGTTACACTATCTTATTCTAGAATTGTATTGATTTCTTTAAAAAAACCCAACAAATATTTACCCTGCAGATAAGTATAATTCATACTCAAAAAAAAAAAACCACCACCCCAAACTAAGATTGCTGAACTCCAGAACCAATTCCAGCTTGGGCTACTCTAAAAGACAGATAGATAATTACACATTTGTCATGTATTTGCTAAACAATTTGGGTTTGAATATTTAAATGCTCAAATATATTGAACACTTACTTGAACATACTTATTCCTGGAATCAAAAGGTAATTTTCTGAGTCTTCCAGTTGCTTTGTACAATTAAAATCCTTACTGTGATGTGTTAACATCACAGCTGTAAGTTCATTCCTGTACACAGGAATATTCTTCAGGAGATAACATTTCTGTGGTTGAGAGAAGGGACTTGGAGAACTTTGTACTTGTGAGAGCTGTATCTTAGCTCCCTGCTGATGTGCAGTTGTTCTGTACAGATGGCTCATGGTAGCTGTTAGATAAGTTGTGCTCTCAGGAGTAGAGCTGAGTTGTACCTGTGATAGCCTAAAGGCACAGCAAAGTGAATTATGCAAGGAAAGGAAGTAAATACTCTGTATGAAGGCTCTGTTATGCTTGGGAGGGGAAAAGGCAAATTTCTGGGCACACGAGCCTGGCTTCAGAGTCAGTCTTCAAAGCAAAGAGGAACATTAAGAGGAGTGGTTCAGGATTAACTGGAGTGTTAACCAGGTCACCTGAGCACAGCAGTTCTTTACTACCATGGGATGAACACATACTGCATGTTGGGAGGGAGAAAATAGGGAGGGAGGGAGGGAGGGAGGGAGGTGCTGAGGTGGAGCACCTTTCCTTCCCCCAGGTGTTCCTCTCCCACTGCTCTGAGTTATCCAGAATTCCCTTGTATTATAGCCCTCCAGGTACTGAGAAGTACACCAAATAAAAACACAGGTGGGAAAACCTGTGCTCCTTTATCTCCCTTTGGTTATTCCAGAGAAATTCCACATCAGTGACACTTCAGGTCTCTGTAAGCATAGCAGGTGGATGTGTGTGTACTTCCCCCTCCATTACACACAGCATCACATGGCAGCTTTGTTACTGTGTCTTTAGGGAGCTTGGGAAACACAACAGGCCATCATAAGATTACACTTCAAATACCAAAAATGCCAGTGCAGGACACAACAGCATGTGCTTAAATCTGGTTGCTTCTCACAGGAGAAGAAGCTTGGGGATGCCTTGAAGATCACTGCCTATGTCTTCAGTAGAGGTCTGCTGGTGTGCACTGCCTTGGTGAACTGTGTTTCTTGGTAAGATTGTTTGAACAAAGGGGCTTGAGGAGAAACTTCTCTGTGGAGACGGGGAAAAAGTGGATGACAAAATGATGAGCAAGCAAGAACTCTTCTTCCCACAGGCTTTTGCAGAATGTAACTTTAGGCAATTTCTGGCAAACCACATGGCTGAAGTTCTACAACCTGTTCGAGGGAGATGAGTGGACGATCTTCCTCCTTGGTGAGTTTTAACAAGGCTCCTCTGTAGGAGGAACCATCCATGTATTACATGTGAAAGGGGAACATGGACATGCCTTCCCAAACTCACTAATCCTCCCAGGGCGAAGCAGTGGCTTGGAAACCAGACACAGCTGATGCAGTGTGGTTGTGCTGCCTTTAGATAGGTTCACCATCAGACTAAAAATCTGATCTTTTTGCTGCTGCTGAAATAGCTTCCCTGTGAAGACACATTGCTGCTGAATGGCTCAGCAGAACTAATTACTAAAAATTAAAGTAAAATTAGTGCATTTTACTCTTGTCACAGCACCTGTAAAACTCTTCTTTGTGATTAGCAGCTAATGAACAGGCCTGGTAAGGACCTAGCAAGGTTCAACCCAACTGTATCCTACTTGTGTTTAAAAACAGCCCATAACAGAGACCTCCCAGAAAAGCCCTTTCTTCACCTCAGTTGTGGCAAGTTTCAACCTATGAGGCATTTGTCTGCTCTAACCTCCTGCCCATTCTTCAGGTCTTACCTGGCTGTCAGAACTTACCCATGTTCCATGTTAAAGCATCCTGGGGCAGGAGACATGCACTGGACACATCTGGGTCCCAGCAAGGTCCTCTGGACACTATGCCAGTGTATTTTGTTTCTGATTTAGCCATAGCTCTCAAGTAATTCACTCATCTCTGCCCTTTCCTCATGGCACAGGGGCTGCACTGGTGCCTGCCCTTGCTTTCTGGGGCTTCAATGGAATCCTTCTGGTGGCTGATGTAACAGGAAAACCAACTTTCATTACTCGCTATCGCATTCAGCTGGGCAAGAATGATCCTGTAAGTACTTCTCACTCTGCCTCTTCTGCTGGCTAAACACTTCTTGCAGTCTCTTAGGCCAGGAGTGGGGAGAAGAACCTGTTATGCTTTTCTCTTGCAACCAGGTAGGATTCCAGGAGTACCAAGTCTTGTATATCCACTGCAGAGAGGAAGGCAGATCCTGTAATTAGGCTACTGATCAGATCTGGATGGTCTGCCTGTTGAAAAGCTGATCACAAAACTAACATGGAAGCTGCCTACAGATCGTAAAGCTTTCTATCCTTTCAACTAAACCTGCATCCATTCTGACTTAGCCTCAAGTCCTGACATCTCTTTTGCAGGTGGACACAAAGAAATTGCTCCAAGCCATCTACACGGCGCTGGTTAATCAGTTCCTGATCTCCTTGCCCATGCTTGTGCCCATGTTCCACATCATGAAATGGTGGGGCAACACCTTCAGCAAGGAATTACCCACCTTCCAGTGGTTTCTTGTGGAGCTAAGTGTCTTTACTGTAATAGAGGAAATTCTCTTCTATTACACACACAGGTGAGCTGAACACAGGAACAGGACTCTGATTTTCCTCCATGCCTTTATACTCATTTCCTACAACAGCAGTAGTCCCAGTCCTGCCTCTTCCACCAATCTTGTATTTATATGGGAGAACTTACAAGTCCTGAAATCCACCCTTGCAAGAGGCTTTGGTGTTGCCAGTAACTACAGTAAGCAAAAATGGGTGAAATTACAAAGGTGGAGCAGCTTAGAAGCTAAGGAAGGAACAAACCAGGCAGCTTTACACAAAAGCTGTGTCCTTTGAAAAGAACAAGGCTGACTATCCTGAAAGAAAAAAAGCCCAAGAGGTCAGTGACTGGTCTCCTGTTCCCTTGTATGGCACCTAGGAAACAGGGCCTGGCTTCTGACACTGCAGGCTTTGCAAGTGCTGACACCAACATTAGAGGGAAAAATGAAAGCGAGGAAGACAAAAGCCTGTGCAGAAGCAAGTGCAGCACTCTCAGAAATATATAGGTTTCCCTTTTGGACAAATGCACCCAAAGAATGTAACAGCCATTTCTTAGGAAGGACCCATGGAACTGAAAATTCTGACTCTAATAGTTGCCAGTAGGAAAAGTCAAAACAGTGGAAGTATAAAGTGAGTCTTGCCCCTAGCAGTACTCCCAGGTTTAAGCGAAGTCATTCAGGGACTTTGATTTATGTGGTTTATCTGGACTAAGTTTAACATCAGCCAGTGGACACATCACTTGAGTGAAGGCTCAGTACTAAAGAGAGGGAGAGCAAGGGAAGCCAGGAGTCCTACTCTCTCATTCCTAGCTGCTCTGAAGTCTTTATGCTGGAGGAGATATGAGCAAGTCCTCAGCAGAAATTCTGTGTTCTGTTACCCTATGGTCCCCTCTTGCAGAGCTCAAAACCTGCCTGCCTCTGTTTGCTCTCCTTAGGCTTGTTCACCACCCAGTGCTGTACAAGCACATTCACAAGAAGCACCATGAGTGGACAGCACCCATCGGAGTGGTCTCCATCTATGCTCACCCAGTGGAACACATAGTAAGTGAACTCCCCCATGGTCACCTTCCAGTTCCTGTGTGGAGTGTGATTTCCATGGGATGAGAAGGAATGGTAAGAGAAGAGAAGCAAAGGTGCCTTAGACCCTGCTTTGTTAGGAAGAGGAAGCAGTACCTGTTTATACTAGACTCCAGTAGCTTTAAAAGCACAGATCCAAGGGCCTCCAACAGATAAGGAGCTGACTGAATGAGGCTTCCTTGAGCCCAGAGAGAACTGGGAGCACAGACAGTGCTTTCAGCACAAGATGTGACACAGTCTGGGTTATTGAGTGGACTCAGAATTCTGTTAGGATTTTCATGTTGGTGGTTGGGATCAGTGTTTGCTGCAGTGTCTTCCAGCACTGCTCCAGCTGAGACTTCTCACAAAAACACATCCCACCTTCAGGAGACTCCACTTAGAAGTCCCACCTCCTGTCAATACTGGTCCTGAGCTGCAGCACCAGCTTTGTGAGTCTCCCCAGCTGACAGTCCTGGGGCAGCACAATGACTTTTACATCAAGGGGCCCAGCTGAGCTGGGCTGGTGCAGTCAGCTGGGGCTGGGCAGCCACAGCCATTTGTGGCATGGCAGGACAGTGCAGTGACACAGCCAGGATTGTCACAGCATTGTGTGTGTCTGCAGGCCGTGCCCTTTTACTGTGAGGTTTTTCCCAAGAGCAGCTTCAGCATTATTCCATGCTGAAATTCAGACCTCACACTCCAGGGTGATTCCCTGGAATCACCACTCACAGTTTGGTCTCACATCTGACTTCTACAGGCTTAGAGAGCTTGGTCTATGACCATAGTTTGGAGTTAGTAGAACTCTGTTAGCTCCTTAATTATTTCTCTGACTTTACAGAGGTGTTTGCAGTGAGATCTCCCTTTATGCTGTTTCCACAAAACTGCTGTGATGTATCACCCAGGTGAACAATTCAGCGCCTAGAGGAGAGTCTGCTTGTCATGAGCCCACTAATGAAGTGTTTTCTTCTCATTTCCAGCTCTCCAACACTCTGCCTGTCATGGCTGGCCCAATGGTCATGGGGTCTCATATTGTTTCAATCTCAGCATGGTTCTCCATCGCTCTGGTAACAACAAGCATTTCTCACTGTGGCTACCACCTGCCCTTCCTGCCATCTCCTGAGTTCCACGACTTCCACCACCTCAAGTATGTCTGGGCACTGCTCAACTTCCCCTTTCCCTTCTGCCTGAGCCTTGGCACTGCTGGCAGGAAAAGCTCCTTTCTGAGGGTCAAGTGGGTTTGCACAACTCGTGCACAAGCAGAGCAGCTCCAGTTCACCTGGTATCAGGCTGAATGCTGCCAGGTCTTGCAGCAGTTCAACAGAGATCAGGATTTCAGAGCCCACACAACTGCCAGACACCTCACTGACATCTACCCTCCTCCACCACCTGGCTGGGAAACTTTCTCCAAAGCACAAACACCGCAGCTGGGGCTGGGAGCAGCAGGTTTCCCAAGATTTCCCAGGAGGAAAGCAGGCAGTGTGAAGCAGCAGGTATCACCTGGACTTCCCCAGCACAAACACAGGGTCAGTTCTCTGCAAGTCTCTTCCTAGAGAAGATCACTGCATGTGATCTAAAGACAGCAAGGGCAAGCCATGCAGGGGAGGCTGTCTGTCTGTTCCTCTCCCATCCACTGGGATTAGGAACACTGATCAGATAACACCTTGCCCAATCCCAATGAACCCTTCCTGGCACAGATTCCCAGACTCCTCCTACACTGGAGCAAGCAGTTGCAGATGATTGTTCAGGGATGCATACCTGAGCAGTGAAAGAACTGTTCCCATCTCCCAGATGTGCACTAGATTCAGACATAGTCTGACCCTCCTGCAGAACCAGCCCATGGGACAGCTCTTACCAGTCCTTTCCTCTGAAGCTCAACTCGTGCCAGGACATGGATCCCTGCAGAGACACTCTCTGGGCAGGACACCAGACAGGCACCAGACAGAGAAGCTGCCAAAGCTTCAGCCAGTCTTGGATAGATAGAGCTGTGAGGGAGACTCATGTTGGGGCAGAAATGGCACGGATGGGTTACCAGGGCTCCCAAAGGAATGGAAATAGGGAGGGTGAGGTAACCTCAGTAACTTCCAGTGATGTTTATCTCTGTTTGGTTCCCAGGTTCAACCAGTGCTATGGCGTGCTGGGAGTGCTGGATTACCTGCATGGCACAGATAGCGTGTTCAGACAAACCAAAGCCTTCGAGAGACACAAGGTCCTCCTCGGCCTCACGCCGCTCTCCGAGAGCATCCCTGAGGCACCCAAGAAGGCTGAGTGAACCAGCCCAGCACCTCTTGCAGAGCCTGGTGACTAGCAGAGTGAGAGACAATGATTTATGCCAAATAGTATTTTAATTGGGAAACAAGTTATTATTCACATGTAACAGAACCCAAAACTGAAGTGAAATATGCTGCTTGAAATGACTGCACTGTTGCTGCCATTACCTTCTACCTAAGACACAAAAAAATCTGCTCTAAAAATCTATTTTTAAACAAAACTTAGCATTTTGTTTCTTAATTACTTGCACTGTCCTTTGGCTCCAGCTGCCTGTGCAGGAACTAGGTGTGTTCTGGGCCATGTGGCTCTGGGGAGTTCTCATTACTGAGGTTTTAACACCAGTTTTCACAGGCCTCAGCAGCACTTAGCTTATAGAAACACTAGCAAGGTCACTAACTGCATGTGACAGGATTAAACCCCACTATTTTTCTGAGACTCAAGAGCCCCTGGGATATGGGATGCAACCCTATGAAAACTCAGTGGGGCCACAGCTTTAGAAACTCTCCTGCCCAGGCAGCAGGGGCCTGGCTTCTCCCAAACAGTTGTTCTCCATGGGAGAAGTCAGTACAGGTCTGAATTGGGGCTGTCACAGCCTCATTGCTGCTCCACACCCCAACAGCTGCAAACACAAGTGAGCTTTCACTCCTGGGACAGGGCAGGAGAGCTTCGAGCTGATGGCAGAAGCCCTGATACTTCACCTGCACCTGCTGAGCCTCATCTCACTGAGACACAACCACAATGGTAAATTACAGAGACTTTCCAAGGAAAGCAGAATCCCTGTTGTCCTGGGAGCTGTGTGGAGATACATGAAATCCTCTAAGAAAGGACCCAACAAAGCACATCCTTAAGCACATACAGACCATTCAAGACATACAGTGAAATTTCTTCAAGATCTTCTTAAGTCTTAATCCTGCCTGGGACAAAACCAGTCCATCTCTCCCCTGTGCTGGAGCAGCCCCTGAGGAGGGACACACAGGGCTGTGACCTGTGCTGCACTGACCTCTGGTCAGCCCAGATCTACCCATGGAAGCCAACTTACTTCCCCTGCTCTCCTCTAGGCCCCACAGCCACACAGGGATGACTCTGGCCTGCAGCTCCCTGGGGAGGACAGGTCAGCAGAACAGAAAGCACAAGCTGCATTGTCTTTTGAAGTTTTTATTTTTATACATTTTTTTTGTATTAAAAAGGAAAAAGCATAATTACCACAAATTACAAAGGACTAAAGCATTACTAGAATAATGAATCACATCAGCCTAGAAAGCAGATACTCTGAATAATATTAATGTTATAATACAAGCTCTCATTCAAGTATTTTACATTTTTCTCTTTTCCTTTTATACGTGATGATGATCCTAGCACATGGGTCAAAGATTATGTACTATCAACAGAGATGGATCATGTACAGCGGCCGTATTAACAAGATTTTCCTCCCAAGTGATACATGGTCTGTGATGAGTCGTTTTAAGTTTGTCTCTACGATAAATGCAGCTGAAGAAGGTTGCACACACTTTCTAGTTTTGGGAAACAGAAGGCTGAGGTTGGACACACGGGGTTTGAGAAGGGCCAGCACATCAAACCATCACTCCGGGCGAGCGAGCAGAGCGCTGCGCTCACTGGGGTGCAGCTCACAGGGGGCTCCTGAGCCACAGACCCAAAGGTTTCCAACCCCAACGGGACCAGGGCAGGCTGGGAAGGGAGGAGGGGGAGCAGAGCTGCACTGGGGAGGCTCGAGGGACCCGAGGGCAGAGCCAGCCCCAGTGCAGGGCTGACACCTGGGGACGAGCGAGCCGCGGCAGCTGGGGGGACCCGGCACGCTCCACAGGGCTGGCTGGCACCCAGGGCACTCCCTGCTCCTCTGGAGCTTCCCACCGAGGGGATGTGCTTGTCACAGATACATCGGTCCTATGTTCAAGTGTCTGCAGAAAGTGAAACTGTAAACTACTCGTGGAAACGCTGCCCTCCGGCCACCTGCTCCGCCCCACCGAGATGAACGTTTGCTTTAGAAAAGAAAAAAGTCATTTATCTGTTACCTGTATTGGAAACTTTAACGAAAGTCAGTGAGGCATTTAACATCAAGTGTAGCAACCCCCTCAAAAAGAGCCCATTTCAAACAGTAACAAGTGACATTACCAGCCTCAGAGGAGACAGGAGACAACAAGCATTGCAAACACAGCCTGCTACATTTACAGTTTTCCTATTATTTTTTTTTCCTTTTTGATAAAGTAACTGGAAAGGCATTAACAGCTAGAAGGCCCCCTCTGCACTGCCACGGGAACGTGTGGCAGGACACCGAGGTTAAACACGTCAGTTTGTTACAGTACAGTCGACCAGTCCCGAGCAGTTCCCCAAACTCGAGGGACCCCAAGGGCTGCAGCCATCGGGGTGTGGGGGGCAGCAGAGGAGGGACAGACAGGCAAACAGAGCAGCAGCATTATTACTTTTTGTAAATTTGTTTTTTATCCCAAATGAGCACGGCAAAGCAACAAAGCCTCCTCTGAAACACACCTTCGACCTCCACTCCTGACCTCACGCCAGGTGCTGCCTGCAACCCCCAGCTGGGCTGACCTCAGCAAGGAGCCCGAGCTGTGGCAGCTTGGGGAACCTCTCAAGAAGGGTAGGATGGGAAGCACTGCCCTCACTCAGCCTCTCCAAAAGCAGCTGGGGCTCTCCCCAGACTGTGCTGGTGGCTGTGTGCCAGCGCTGCAGGATGGATCAGTGCTCACAGGAGTGCACCTGCCCAACCACTCGGACCACTAAACTAAAAAAACAAACAAAAAAAAAAAACCAACAAAAAAAAACCAAAAAAAGCACAAAACATGGTGGTGGTGAAGCATCAGAGCTAAAAGCAAGGCCAAACTCCCTCTTCTGCAGGAAGGCAAGAGCTTCCTCAGATGCAAACCCCCTCTGGAGAACTGTTCTTTTGTCCAGCATGTGATGCCTCCTGTACACAAATACAGCCAGAGGTCAAGTGACACTGCAGAGCTGCCCCTGCCAGCACCCACCAGTGGGAGTAGATGGCTCTGTGTTCTCTCAGGCTGGAGGAAGACAAGTGGGAGCAAGTCAACAGCTGCCTCAGGCTGTCATGTCCATCTTTTCTTTGCACAATAAAACAAGGCACACAGTCCACAAACCTGGAGGGTGGGACAACTGGGATTGCTCATCTGACCCACCTTCCCCTAGGAAACAGGAGCACACACTGATGTGACAAACCACTAACTTGGCAGAGGGGGGAGGGCAAACTCTTCCATGCCAAGACTAGAGCCTCAGCCTTAGAAATAAAAAAAAATTAAAATTAAAATCAATTCAGATTTGGGGAAATTCTCTGGGAAATGTCCTACCTCTGCTACCATCCAAGCAATTCCACAGTCTGCTCCACAAGCAACAACTCCACTGATGTTCATTCCTCCTCATTTCCTATTACATTTGTTGCTACAATGCAGACAATTGGCTTCAAAAGAGAACACACCGAGGAGAGGGGCACAGGACACAGCAGCAAGGACCACACTGGCACATCCAGACCTGCTTCCACTTGCAACCAACCAGCAACACATCTCCAGTGTCCTCGACTGACTCCAGCCTCCTCCTTCCCAAATCAGGGACAAACCTGGCTACATCCGTAACCTCAGAGACTCCAGCTCACGAGGGGGAAATCCAGAGATAACAGTCACGGCCGCAGCACTGTACAAGTGTTACTTCTGCCCACCCTGCCCAGTTCCCACCCACAACCCCAGAGCACTGCTGCCGCAGCGGAACACCCACGGCCTCGGGCAGGCTGCACTGCTGGAACTGGGCTGGGGTGGTACCAGCTGCAGAGTGACTGGCAGGGGTGGACAGAGCAGGGCAGGATCACACCACCAGCACACGGCAGAGCAGCAGTTACCCAACCTCTCCAACCCAGCTGTGCTTTCCATTCTAGCAGCAGTTCATGAAGCTGCTCCACTTGGACCAGCCAACCTCTCCCCACCAAAGCAGCAGCATCCTCGAGGCAGTGTCAGTCTGGGAAGTGATGACCTCAGCCAGGGCTGCATGAGCCCCTACAGCCACTTGTGATGGACAGCTTGCCCTCCAGC